TCGGGTCAACTGTTTAAAAGTTCGAGTCGGGTCGGGTTGAACCACTGACCCGACCCGACCCGACTCGTTCGGAGCTCCATGGTGGTCAGAATAAAAATAATGTAACAATTTGGTTCTATTTATATTTGGTAATTTGTGATTATTACAATAGCATTGAATTGAATTTCATGGTTCCAGGACATACCAAATTCAAGTGTGATGGTAGTTTTGGACTGATTAAAAAACTCTATAGAAAAACAAGAGTAGATTATCTGGACCATGTGGTTGATATGGTGAAAAGAATTAGTCAGCAGGATTGAATAAAGCTCAATGTTATGGAGGTGTAAAAGGTTTTCAATACTTGGATATTAAAGCTATTTTAGGAATTTATTGTAAGAAATACAGAAATATCAACATTTTCTTTTTGAAGCATCTAATATCAGTACAGTGAAAGTCCAAGAAGTTGCTAATAAACTTTCTACTGAATTCTATTTATTGAAACTAAGAAAACTGATATTTTTGAAGAAATTAAATCTTTATCTATTTTAGTGTTAACGCCTTATAAAAATTTAGTCAGAAAATGCATGGTTTTTCCATGCATTTTCCGCATATTTCGTATGGAATATGTACGGAAAAGCACTCTTTTCATGTATAATTCCGTGCATATTCCATATAAAATGCACGGAAAATGTATGGAAAAACCATGCATTTTCTGAAAAAAAATTTTATAGGGTAGAAAATAAACATACGGGATGTATAAGAATTTCCTTATTATTATTATTATTATTATTATTATTATTATATTTTAATTTGATACGGAATGGACATATTTAATCTAATACTAAGTTTTGAAATTTATCAATGTAATAGTAATGCAATTTATGGATGTATACGGAAAATATACGGAATTAGGAAAATAATAATAAAACGTTCTGATTCCGCATTATAAGGTACGGAATAGGTGCGGAACTTGCAACATACTGAAAAGGTACTAGTACTTTTTGATATAAGGTACGGAATAAGTACGGAATTTGTAACTACTAGTAATACCAATGTTCACCTTTGGTTTTGTTGCAGCCGCCCCATATATTTGAACAAAACGAATAAAACGAATAAAAATTTGTATAACTATTATGAATTAGAAACTCTAGCTCAACTCAATATTAAAAAGATTTTTTGTATTTTGCCACAAATATCTGAGCAAACATTATGAAATTTTATACGGGGTTTAACTGTACGCATATATTTTCAGAACCTAAAACAATATTTTTTATTGGAAGGACAAATATTGTTAAAGTTCAAGTATTTTATACAATCTATTATTTTTTGGTTGCAAAAAAACGTGATTTTATCAAATTCGAGCTAGTGCTTTTTATGTTCGAGCCAAGATTTGTAGATTGGTCATTAATTTACCTATTCAACGTAAAAAAACAAATGAAAGAATCACATTTATATTATCATGTATTATCTAAATATCATAAAAAAAAATATATATATTAATATATTAGGAGAGCATGTGACAGATAATAATAATGTGATTAAAAGATATTCATAATGAATCATGAATATTACGTCTGAATCCAAAAATGTTAAACCCTTTATTAATAATCAAATTATTAGATTCTTATCATTGTGATGTAACAATAAAAACGCAATAATGATCAGAACTTCAACCATTGACAAAATCAAAATCCTTCATATCAACAATCTATTTAAAGTATACCAATAGAATCATCAGAACTTGAAGATAACATAGTGGTAATCTTATCTCAGGGTCACGAGTATGTATATGTAAAAACGCAATAACAATCGATCACTGACAAAATCAAAGTACTTCATATCAATAATATAATTTATTTAATAGTAGCAGAAAGTCTTTATTTATAATGATTAATGTTTATTTACTAAATAAGAAACAATACTATGTTTATATCCGATTATTAATTGGATACGGACCTAATTGGACTTTTTGTCCATTATGGTGCCATAGACCGCTGCCATAATTAAATATTATCATTTTAAATGATTTTGTGCAACAAAATTTTTAAAAATATAAGCACAAAATAACATTATCATTTCCTTTTAAAGACTTTTCTTAAAATAAAAAGGAAAAAGGAAAATTTAAATTAATATTAAAATCTATATTACAAGGGATTTTTTCCTTTAACTCGTTAAATAATAAAATTATTTTTTTTTTTTAGATTTTATCAAAATTTGATAGAACATCAGCCATTTTTTCAGTAGAACATAAAATCTGTTCAAAGAATAACAATGCCTCTTGAGATTTATCAACCATGTATATTAAAGATTCACGTTTCTTCTTTTCCTCTTCAACAGCCAAACGATATCTAAACACCAAATCACTAGATACCAAACGTGTTTTCTTTCTGACTTGTCTAACAATCTTATTCATCTGTCTGTCTATATAATTCTCTTGTTCTAAAACCTTTTGAATTTTACGAGAAACTTTACGTGGAATGGTATTTTGAATGTCTAATACTAAATAATAAGCAAGTCCGATACCTATATTAAAAAAATAGGGATTTTTTTATTAATAAAATTTTATTAAAAAAAAAAATAGATCTTAAAAAAAAATATAATGGAAAATATATTCATACTAGCAAGTCCAAGAACTGGTAAAACAATTTTACGCATATTATAAATACTTAAAACATTGCTTAGTTTCAAGAAGTTATGTAATGTTTTAGCATTAGCTCCAAATGCAACAAGAGAAGCGCCAGTCACACCAACAACATTTACCAATCCACTGTTAAATTTTTCATAAAAATCCAAATCAATAAAGTCAGAGATTTCAACAGGAATGTTGAGAGAATGATTGAAGTTTGCAAACATTGATTCAACATTTACTTCGGCGGTGGTATTTCCATTAATATCAGGTAAATTTTCACCCATTGACCTAAGTTTGGCGATGCATTCTTGTGTAGCATGAACTGAATATGATTCAGAATTTCGAATTTGTTCCAAAATTTTATCCAACATTGCATCACGAACATCAGTTGCATAATTCCAAGCAGAAAAAAAACCCGGAAATTCGATCCCGATATCTTTATGAACATTTCTAATTACTTCTTTTACCTGTTGTCCGCATAATCTAGTGATACCATCACAATAATCATCAATCATTCTTCCTGCATTTTCAGCAACCTTTTTCTCATCTTCGACTAATTTCTCGTAATCATTTTTTCTCTCTTCAAGCTCAATATTAGCTCTGTTGTGTTCTTGTAGAGCATAGTCAAGGTTAAGTTCTGACAATAAACCAACATCTTGCACAAGATTTTCAAGAAAATGTTGTGCAGGTGCAAGTTTAGAGTTAGTTCGTTTTTCAATGATAAAACTGCGTAATGCTTCTTCACATAAATCAAATTGTTCTTCAACTGAATCATTAGAAGTTGATGGTAAAGATGAATTTTCAGCAACAATATTGTCAGTAGAAGGGATTTTAATAGCTGATGCTGACACAAAATGCACCAATTCTTCTGCATTTTCATAAGTACGGGGCGAGACTTCTTTTATTTGTTCTAAAACCAATCTTTTGCATTTATTTTTGTCCCTAATATTATCAAAACGATTGACTACAATAAAGAGATAGGCTTTTTCATTAGAAGCATTTGATAAAAATTCTTTAGCTGATAAGGTGAAATGATTTTCAGCACTAACAACAAAAATAATAACATCGATTTCTTCTTGTCTTGCAAACAATGCAGTGGTTTTAAGTGTGTCTCTGTTTAGACCAGGACAATCAATCAAAGCAATATCAATAATGCCATTGTGTAAAAGCGAATTTTGTGCTTGACGTCTATCTTTACAGTATACTTTGAGTAGAGAGTATTGTTGTATTTCACTGTTCATAACGTTAGCTATTGAATTCAAATCTATAACAGTATGGGTTGAACGATCTTTTCTGTCATATAGTTTTATATCCTTGATTGCATGCACCTCTTCAACATTATCATTTTCATGAATTCCCAAGACTTCACAGAAAAGGGTTGTACAAGGTTGTTGGTCTATTGGCATCACTTCTCGTCTAAGCAAAGTGTTTACAAAAGTACTTTTTCCAGCATTAACATCACCAGCAACAAGAACCTTGGAACTTTTGTCAGAAACACGGGTGATAAGATTATCAGTACGTTTAAGAATTGAAGTAAATTTTTTATCCATCAATTTGCCAATAGCTGTGGGGTTGAGACCCTTGACAACATCCTCTGCTGATGAGGTGTCGGGCATTTTCATGTCAAGATTTAAAAGACCAAGCTTGGGCTTTACATCTTCGGAATTTTCTAGAGAATGATTGTTTGCTTTAAGATTTTCTTTGACATTCTGTCTGAAAGAATTTAATACGGGTTTGTTTAGCGTTGCACTAAACATTGAAGTGATCACGCCGGGATTTACAATCCTGTTATTGTTTCTTCTACCATACTCAATACAATTTGTAGGAAAAGGATATTGAAAGTTGTAGCCACTATCTATTTTATCTCTAAATTGATTCAATATATTTTTTGAATTGTCTAACAAATCCAAAAGAGTCTTACTTTTAATTACATATGCTTCACTGTTCATAGTATGGGTGTTTGATACATTGTTATTAGGGATATGTAAGTTTGGTCTAGAGGAGTTAAGGAGAGAAGTATTTGAAAAATTTTGTTGAGGAACGGTATTATTGTGCCTTTGTTGATTACTTGATGAGTTGTTTAACAAAAAGGAAGTCATATTGATTTTATAATTTTTATCCTAAAAAATTTTTTTTAAAAAAAAAAAACAATTATTATTAATTAGTTTCCTTATTAAGAAATTGTTAATCATCTAATTTTTTTTTTTTGATATTTCATTAACGAATAAGCTATATAGTAAGCAAGTAAA